TTGCGAAGGGATGGAAGACATAAATATGGACAAAGAGGATGCATATGCAGATCCTACTGGATTGAAGCCTGACGAACATGATCAAGGTCCTGAAGAGGATTGTAATATGGATGAACCAGAGATTGCTGAACCAATGGTGGAAGATGATTTAAACCAGCAAGGTGACCCTGCTGAGGAAAAGAATGAGGGGGGTGAAACAGCTGATTCAGATGCAACTTTTGATGAGGCGGACCCTGAGCATTTTGATGAAAATCCTGGAGGAGCTGAAGAAGAAGGTGATCATGCAGATGACACGAAAAAGGAACCAGCAGCACAAAATAGAGAGATCCTGCAGTCGGACACTTCTCATTCTGTGGGTGATAATGTCCCAACTGCTGTGTCTGCATCTGAGCCTAGAGGTGAATATAATCAAGCAAATTTGAAAGATGCAGCTCCTGAAGCGAAGGGATCTGATGGTGGTGGGCCTCAACATGACCTTGCTCCCATGAGAGGTTTGCCTGATGCCTCTATGGTTGAAATCATGGCTTCTGATTCTTCAAATGGCCAAAAGCTGGGCAGGGATCAACCTGAAAATCCTTTACCTCCAGCTGATTCATCACATCAACGGATTCAGCCCAATCCTTGTCGTAGTGTGGGTGATGCCCTCGAGGGATGGAAAGATAGAGTCAAAGTCTCACTTGACCTACAGGAGAGCGAAGCTCCAGATGATATGGCTGCTGAAAATGCAAATGAATATTCATATACTGCTGAATTTGAAAAGGGAACAGCTCAAGCGCTTGGGCCAGCAACTGCTGATCAAGTAGACAAAAATGTACACGGAAATGATCTTGAAAGGGAAAATGCAAGTACAGAGAGAAAAGATGACATTTCTGAAATGGAGATTGAGAGGCAGCTGTCTGAAGCACATACTATTAGTAATTCCGCTTTAAGTTTCTGCAATGACAAGGGCAAGCAATCAGAGATAATGGACACTGAGGAGCAACCTGAATCACCATCAGAAGTTGATGCTAGAGATGATACTGGTGTCACTAGTTTGTCTCAGAGTTTGGTCTCAGTGAAGAGGACCTTTTTGGTGGAGGACATAAATCGGCTTAGCGAGCTCTCGGTAGATGATGACGACCTAGGTAAGGCCCGTAACCTTGAAGAGGTATCCGATGAGATGAGAAAGAATGCTGCAACTCTCTGGAAAAATTATGAACTTCGCACTACGAGGTTGTCCCAGGAGTTGGCTGAACAGTTGCGTTTGGTAATGGAACCCACTTTAGCTAGCAAGCTCCAGGGAGATTACAAGACCGGGAAAAGAATTAACATGAAGAAGGTAATCTTTAGTTATTCATATTTCCTTTTTATTGGAAGGAATAATATTCTAATCTTGTACTATCTATTGCCAGGTAATTCCATACATAGCAAGTCATTACCGTAAAGATAAGATATGGCTAAGGAGAACTCGGCCTAACAAACGGAACTACCAAGTGGTTATTGCTGTGGATGACTCCCGCAGCATGTCTGAGAGTGGTTGTGGACATTTAGCCATTGAAGCATTGGTGACTGTTTGCCGTGCAATGTCTCAGTTAGAAATAGGACAGCTGTCAGTTGCCAGCTTTGGTAAGAAGGGAAACATTCGCATATTGCATGATTTTGATCAGTCATTCACTGGAGAGGCTGGTATTAAGGTTCGTCTATATTCACACATACATGCTTCTACCATTTGTCCCAGCTATTGTTTGAGTTATTTTGATGAAAGTTGAGCGATATATTCTGATGTTTTCCTTATATACAGATGATCTCTAGTTTGTCCTTTAAGCAAGAAAATACAATAGCAGAGGAACCCATGGTTGATCTTTTGAAGTACTTGAATGACATGCTCGATGCCGCTGCTGTTAATGCACGGCTACCATCTGGGTACAATCCGCTAGAGCAGCTCGTTTTGATAATAGCTGACGGCTGGTTTCATGAGAAGGTAAATTTCTTTGCTCAAGTGTTGGTGAAGTTGCTATCTTATACTCATTTTATTTTACTTTTACTCTAGGAGAACATGAAACGCTATGTCAGAGATCTCTTGAGCAAAAAGCGAATGGTCGCATTTCTTGTGGTGGATAGCCTACAGAAATCCATATTGGACCTTGAGGTAACCACTGTTTTTTTTTTCCATTAGGTCCTTGATCTTGTTTGTTTCATGGTTTTTGAAATAAGAAAAGTTCCCCAGCGTGATTGGTTCTTTGACCCTTTTCCAGGAAGCTACCTTTCAGGGTGGAGAAGTTAAGCTTACAAAGTATTTGGATTCGTTCCCATTCCCATACTATGTTGTGCTCAAAAACATTGAAGCACTTCCTAGGACGCTTGCTGATTTGTTAAGACAGGTGACTGTAATACAATATTGAAGCACTTCCTTTCATTTTGAAATTTCTTTTACAATTTCTGAATTATTGTTTGATAACGTGAGTAATGATCATGATCTTGGTTTTCCTTTCATGCAGTGGTTTGAGCTTATGCAACAGTCGAGGGAATAGGTTGCTTATATAACACATGATTCCTGTGAGAACCCCGAGATATATACATGTACATAATACCTTTCTCGGCCTTTTGTCGTAGATCAAGTGTACAGACAGACATGTATATAGGAGAAACTTGGTGAATCACATCCTCGCAATCTGTCTCCTTATGGGATAACATACAGTGCAGCTTTTCTTGGCTTGAGCTTTCCTTTCCCACTGGAGGGGGTGCGAGGTTTAGGGGGTGGGTCGGGAGGGGTGTTTCTGTTGGCAGCTGACGCACTGTATAGCTCTGTAAAGGGAAAATGTCATCTTCCTACCTTACTGTCATGTTGTAACTATGGACGTTTACCTTATAGTGCAAAGGTTTAATATTGCAATCTTCAGGTTCCAATCGATTTGGTGGGTTTCAGTTTAGTGATAAACAATGTGGTGTATTTCTTCCTATTTTCTTTTTTCTCCGTCGATATAGCTTACAAAATCAAAGGAATTCAGCAGTGAATTTTGAATGTAAACTTGTCCTCCAAGAGCAAGAAGCACCATTTTTCATGCCGAGTAGCTACTGTATTCGTTTTAATTATGAAGTTTTCCGTACCTAGTAAATTGAGCGACAACAGTATTACCTATAAGGTATTTATTATATTTTTTGATTAAGTTTCTTTTCTCGGCGTGATTTTAATCAGACGTGTTATTAAATTCTTTGCACAAAAATATAATTATATGGTAATAAAATGAGATGTTAAATATCTACGTGTGTTCTTTTCTTGACCAATTACGAATTCCTATTGAAAATGACCAAGTCTACTTCAAAACAAGTAAATATTGATGCTGCACTAGTTCAATGAAAGTTATGATTCTATGATATCAAAAGAACGAATTAAGATCAAGAAATATGTTATTGAAAGATCAAAAATTCAACAAGTTCCTAAAGTCACCACTTGGAATAAATTAACGTGATAAAGAAATACCACACGCAATTAAAAATATTATAAAGACTATCACCACCTTTCTTGGAACCAAAAACAAGGATAAAAAAAGACAAAATAGTGAAAAACACTCCATTGTAAAACTAGGGCAAGCCTCAAAAACGTGAATTCCCTTCTACAAAGGAAGAGAACCCTTTACATAGGTCTAGAGTCTTTTCTTTGATGATTACAATTCCTATTATAATAAGGAAATAAAATAACTAAAGACAAGAATATAAAATCCCTATTCTATAAGAAAAATAAACTAGAATCCTACTAAAAGAAAATCCTTATTCTAAAAGGAATAAAATAAATCCTATTTTAAGAAGGAAAGAATCATGACTTCTTGAAATCAATCTTTAACTTATTGGACTTCTTGCGCTTCTTGAAAGTAAATCCATATGTTTGGACTTGAGCTCTAAAACATGATCTTTGCCACAATTAATAAAATTTAACATAGATTCTTCATTTATATCATTCTCCTCTGGTTGAGAAAGACTCGTCCTCGAGTCTAAAGAATCCACAAATGGCACAAGATTGATAACTTCCATGATTTGATTGAACTCATATTCACCAGGCTCTAAGTTGTATTTTTCTAACCTACCAAAGAACTTCATCGTGTTGTAACAAAGTTTAGCATGTGACCGAACTAAATCTTACTTTATCAATAGTATCTTTGTACCAATATTTCTACAATGAATCCTCTCAAATTAATATGATTCTTCGAGTTAACAAAGAACCAACCAACCTGGATCAATATCTTGAAACAAAAACGTAATTTGTGGGCCGGTTTCAAAAAAATGTATCTAAGTTTTAGGACTTAAAATATGATGATTCAAAAATGAGGTGAAAGATGACAATCTGAACTATAATAAAGAGTATTTACTCGTTCAAAACAAGTAAATATTGATGATTTACCAGTTCAAGGAAAATTTTGATTCTATGATATCAAAAAAACGAATTTAGATCAAGAAACGTGTTCTCGAAAGATCAAGAACTAAACAAGTTCCTAAAGTCACCACTTGGAATCAATTAACGTGATAAAGAAATACCACACGCAATTAAAAACAAGATAAATACTATCACCACCTTGCTTGAAACTAAAAACAAGGATAAAGAAGACAAAATAGTGAAAAATACTCTATTGTAAAACTAGGGCAAGCATAAAAAAACGTGAATTTCATTCTACAAGGCATGGGAACCCTTTATATTTGAGTAAACGAAGGGTTGATTTTGAGTAAACGACCTCAGAATCGAAATTTGAAGGTTCCAACAGGTTCGTATGATAATTTGGACTTGGACGTATGTCCGGATCGGGTTTTGGATGGCCCGAGAGCGTTTCGGCGCCTATTATGGAAGGTTGGCATTTTGAAAGAATTTTTTAAATTTGGGTTGAAGTGCATTTCAATGTTATCGATGTCTGTTTGAGATCTCGAGTCTGGGAATAGCTCTGTATGGTGATTCTAGTATTGGGAGCATGTCCGGAAGTGGATTTGGAGGTCCCTAGGTCATTTTGGGGCTATTCGGCAAAAGTTAGAAATTTGAAGGTTATTGAGAAGTTTGACCGGAAGTGGACTTTTTGATATCGGGGTCAGATTCAGATTCCGAAATTTGGAGTAGGTTTGCAATGTCGAATGTGACTTGTGTGCAAAATTTAAGGTCAATCGGACGTGATTTGATAGGTTACGACATTGAATGTAGAAGTTTGAAGTTCTGAAGTTCATTAAGCTTGAATTGGGGTACGATTAATGATTTTGACGTTGTTTGATGTAATTTGAGGCCCAGAGCGAGTTCGTATCATATTTTGGGACATGTTGGTATAATTGATTAAGGTCCCGAGGGCCTTAAGTGGATTTCGGAAGGTTAATGGAATGGATTTCGGACAAAATGAGGTGCTGGAATTTTCTGTTGCAGAAGTTGTTCGTAGAAATTTCTGATGCGTAGAGCCGACTTTGGAAGCTTATATCTCGCAGTCTACAAGGAATATGAAAATTTTCAAAATTATGAAAGTTGTAGCCCTTTGATTCTAGTTTCTAGAAAGTTAAACTATTTATCATTTGGACATTTGTATAAAAAGTTATGGTTGATTGAATAAAGGCTGGTAAAACAGTTTTTGGCTTGAAAATTTTGAGACAAGTCGCATCTCATATATGCGACTTACCTGGACAGAATCTGTCCGGAGTTCGACATTTTTTTTATTTTTGGAGTTTTAGACCTCGGTTTTGAGCAATTTCAGAGGTATTTTTCACGAGTTTGAGTTGGGTAAGTATTATATATCCGAAATTAATTATATTTCATGATTCCATACTCATTTACATCATGAATCCATGAATTTATGGAAGAAAAATCATATTTTTATCAAATCTTCCAAAAATGAAAATTAAAGATTTGAAAGCCAATCTGATGTCGGAATTCGATAATTTTTGTATGGTTGAACTCGTATCGGAACGGGTGTTCGGATCTCATGAGTTTTTCCAAGATTCGAAACGTGGGTCTCACTGTCAATTTTTTAATAAACTTCAGATTTTAATTCGGAAAATTAATAAATTCATACGGAATTAAATCCTATGATTTGTATTGAGTATATCAAATTGTTTATGACTAGATTTGAGGCTTTTGGACCAGAATTCGTGAAGCAAAGGTTTATTGGAATCTTGAATTTGGTTGCGGAGTGAGGTAAAACTCTTTTCTAGCCTTGTAAGAGGAACTTAACCCCATAGATGAACTAAATTAATATATGCTTCTATTTGTGGGGGCTATGTACGCACGAGGTGACGAGTGTCCGTATGTATTTACTAGCTATGCCTATGTCCGGGTAATTTTTGGTTTATACCATGCCTTGTTGATATTGTTATTTTTCGTATGTTTATTATTTTCCTTGAGAAGAAGTGAGATTGAGTTTGCTTATTAATTGCCTTGAAAAGAGTAGGAATAGAGATATTTGAGATTTTAAAAGCTTTCATTTGAATTTCGTATTTTTTGGAAAAATAATTGAGAAATATTATAACAACTTGTGAAAATCTATGTTCAACCACGTCGCAACTATATTCCGCGAGCGGGGTAAATTTTGCTACTCTCATGGGAGCGGGCCGTTCATCTCGGCAAGTTAAATAGATGCATCTATGGTTCGTTCCATTCGACCCTCGATAGTGCACAGTTTATATGACGGGTTTTCAATATCTTTGCCTTATGTTGTTTTGATGATCTAACAAACTTACTGTCAAGAACCAGATAGGGAACCTGACACACTTGGTACACATTGCTAATGAATGAATTCCAGCCAGAACTCCAGCTAATGTGAACTGCTTCAAGTGTAGAAAATAGAGAAACAAGACAAGGACCTGATACCTTGTGTTTCCCTGATAGCAATACAAAAGTCAACTGTGCACAGCTAAAAAGTGACTACCACAGAAACAGTGCACACAATGCAGCAGGTTTGCAGTCACTTGTCCTTTGGCCAACCAAGTACTTACATCATTCAAGTGATATCATCAAAGATGTATTAATAAGAGCATTATAAAAAAATATCGCTTGAACACTTGAGAATTCACTTCAAGCATACAAACCTTTTGCAACAGTGAACTTAATTCTCAAGTGCCTATAGAACAAAGTTACGCTACTACGGACCAGTTCCTAAATCCAATATTTGTTGTACTTAGTTGAGTTGTAACTTTGTAATTGTTCTTATTGTAATTCCTAAATTGCTTAGCTAGAAGCATTACTTATGAACCCCTTTGTAAAACCATAAACCCTTTGTGTTTGTGTCTTGACTAGAGTTAGTCGAGAGTTGAAGTCTTTGTAATAGGTGTATTGCAATGTGACTTGTAATAGGTGTATTACGAGTTAGCGAGGGATTAAGAGTTTAATTCCTAGATTGCATAGGTTGTAATCTAAAAGTTGCTCATAGTGAAGTTGAAATCCTACCAGTGTAGGTCATGGTTTTTTTTTATCCCCTTGAGCATGGATTTTTCCACGTAAAACTCCTTATCTTATTTACTTACTATTTTATTAGTATTCCCAGTGGAAACTCATAGAGGACCTGGTATTCTATAGTTTGGTGGACTCATAAAAACTATCATTATATTTATATGTTGGTTAGTGCCATTCGACCCTCAACAGTGCACAACTTAAATATTTATGTTGGATCGGGCCGTACGACCTTGGTTGCTTGGGAATTTATAATAATTGATATTGCTTCATTGGCCTGAGATATAAATTGTTAAATAATGAAAAATAAATTTGGAAATTTCTTGTTAATAAAAGAATTGTTTACTTACTTCATGATATTGAGGTTACAGTCGTTCTATGTAATCCATGCTTAATTATATCATTGGTATTTTATTTATACCCCATAGTAAGTGTCGGAGTTGACTCCTCGTCACTACTTCTTCGAGGTTAGACTGGATACTTACTAGATATGCGTTGATTTACATACTCATACTACACTTGATGCACATTTTGTTGTGCAGATATGTATATGTTTAGTGGTCTTGTGGGCGTAGAGGCGTGGTTAATGCAGAAACTTAGGTGAGCGACATTCCATGCTACGATCCGCAGTCAGCAGAGTCTCCTTTAGAGTTATCTTTATCTTTC